CCAAGCCGTCTACTTCCTACAAGAAGGATGAGAAGCCAAAAAAATCTGCTTTAGATGAGATACGAGAACAACAGGAGCGCTTCAAAGAAAAGAAGAATCGCAAAGATTATTGGCTTTGCGAGGGAATAGTTGTAAAAGTGAGCCCTCTTCATAAAGCTAAATCGCTTTTTTACTTCAAATTTTGGTGCAATCATTTCAGATTATCACTAAAAAACTGGGAGATGAATACTATAAGGCAAAGGGTGTTGTGAAGTCATTAATCGACGAGTATACGGCAAGTGTGAAGTTAGATGATGGTGAGTAGTCAAGTTTCTAAATCTGCGATTCGCTAAACTGTTTTACAACCTTATCTCATTCCTCTGATGTTGTCGTTTTTGCGCTCTTTCGTTTATATTTTCTTAGTTGGCAGTCAACGTTTGAGATTGCTGATGGATCTCATTCCTAATATTTTTATTATTTTGAACTAAAATTTATGACCCTTTAGTACAATTATATACATTTGCTCACTTAGTACATCTCACAAGAGATGCGGTACTAGGATATAAGATGAATAATGCCTCAAGCTTTTGATTGTAGGAACATTGGTGAAGTTAGACCAAACTCACGTTGAAACGGTCATTCCCAGTATCGGGCGTGAGATGAAGATCGTTAATGGCGCGTACAGAGGATGCACCGCGGTAAAGATTCATAAATTAGCAATTGTTTTATTACTCCTTAGCTGCCAATATTTTTTAGTTTTGTAATTTTGCTCAGAGTATCATATTTTTTTAGAAGTTGGAAAGTTTGGATAAAGACAATTTCTGTCTGAATCTTTGCATCTCGGAAGGCCCAATGCACGGGCGAAGTGTGCGTGTTCCATATGAAGATGCTAGCAAGCTAGCGTAGGATTGTGATTTGCAGAGTTAATGATTATGTACAATAAATATTTTTATTGTTTATTATTCTTCGGTTTTGTGGTTGAAGCCACATGCATATCTTAAATAAGTCTCCCGCAAAGTTTTTTTTATGAATTATTTCAAAGGTTTATAAGAATTTGATTTTCAGAGTTATATCATGTCGCTAGAAAGCGAAGTTGTAAGAGGGAGTTTGAAACTAAAAAAGGGCGATATTTTCAAGAAGAAAAAGAAGAAGGTTGACCCAAAGATGATTGACTTGACTATCAAGAAAGACGAGAAAACAAACACAGCGGGCAAAACTAAGGCAGAGATTGCATTTGAGAAACGAAGAGAACAGACTATAGTATGTTTTATGCTTTCAGACTTGTACTATTGTGCTTTAGTAATTCGATTATTTTAGGTACGATTATGCTTTAGTACGATTATTTTAGTTTGAGCGAATGCAGAAGAAAGCAGCTGTAAGTCATCGTGAACGAGTGGAAGAGTTCAACAAGCAGATGAGTGAATTGACTGAATTCAACGATATTCCCAAAGTTTCATGGACTAAATAGACAAAGTACTGTTTGTTCTTTAAAACTCCTGCGATCTGCATGTGTATATGCGTTGATTCATGTATCAATTCCTATCTGCATACATTGTACAGCATGACGATTCTTGATATTGGATGATGTAATGAAGAAGAACGTTATCTAATCCATTGTTTGGAGGGAAATACTAATAGAGTGCGTATTGAAGTTTGTAACTTTTTACGTGAAAATTCTTTAATTACATATGCAGAACTGAAAAAAAGCTGAACAACTGAATCAAACAGTTGTCTGCATTTATATCACTGAAAAATGAGTCTCTCCGTGTATTGCATTTTGTTGTTCTGCGACTGCAACATATGCACGTTATCCGCTTGATTGGAGAAGTTGCATGTTGAATTTTACAATTAAACGTGCTGTTCTGCATT